AAAGAACGGGAACCAAACATAGGTATAGTTCGTGGGTTGGAGTTCGGTTAGACTACAGAAAAACAATGGGTTTGCATTTGCTGCATGCCCAATTACTTGTGTTAATTCTACTTATTTTGGTTTCAAGATCAGTTTCTACACAAGCAAATTCACAAAGAGCAAAGCAAAACTGTATGGATCGTTGTGGAAATGTAAGAATTCCCTTCCCTTTCGGCACGAGGGAAGGCTGTTACTTTAACGAATCATTCTTAGTCACTTGTAATGACCCCAACTCTGATTTTCCGAAACCATTTTTGAACCGCTCAAACATCCAAATCACAAGCATATCCCTAAAGGGCCAATTGCCTGTTTTGCAACCCATATCAAAAGACTGTTATTCTAGGAATGGCACCAGAACATTCTATCTACCTAGCTCGATAGATGTACCTTTTGGATTCAAGGTCAATAATACTGCCAATAATTTCATTGTCATTGGTTGTGATACTTCCGCTCTTGTAACTTGGAGCCTCCGGGATAACATTTATTACGAGACAGAGTGTTTATCCCTGTGTGATAACAAGGATGATTTGGTCGATGACTCATGTTCTGGTTTAGGCTGTTGCAAGATTCCTATCCCGAAACAGGTGCGGGCAGTTAACGTGACACTGGAAAGCCTTGATAATTTCACAGACGTGTCAGACTTCAATAATTGCAGCTATGGTTTTCTAGCTGAGGAAAGTGAATTCACTCTCTCCGCAAGAAGTCTTTCCAGCTTGAGGAATGTGGAAATGCTTCCAATGGTGGTTGACTGGGCAGTTGGAGAAGAAACTTGTGAGGCGGCTCGAAATAATATTTCTAGCTATGCTTGTAAAAGTAAGAATTCCGAATGTTATGAACCCAAGAATGGTTATGGGTATCGTTGTCGTTGCCAGGAAGGTTATGAAGGAAATCCATACCTCTATGATGGCTGTAATGGTATGGCTCTATTATCTTAAAGTACATAAATGATTTAGCACCATATTTTTCACAATATAATCAACAAGATGTTAACTTTGTTTTTCCTTCTTATTATTCTTATATTTGTTATGTAGACATTGATGAATGTAAGGATCAAAGT